AATGCATGGGTTGAGTAATAAGTGATACAAATAGTCAAAAGGAGGGAAATTTTAATAAGATGGGTTTCAAATGAGACCAGCTTCTTCATGCTTAGAATTTAATAGAAACAGTAACAAAATCAGGCTGACTGGGGCAAACAAGGTGGGCAAAAATTGGAAAGGTTAAAATTAATAACAGACAAGTAACAAGAGTCAAAGGCATTTGAAAACATAGGTCATTGCAACTTTAGTTCTGCTGTGTATAACATGGCTGAATTCAATGGAAGGTTTTAGTCAGAGGAATAACATGATATCATGTATTTTATTAGGATGACTTTGGCTTTTCTATTAGACAATTCACTGGTGGTAAGTAAATTTAACCAGACACAGAAAAGTAAATATTGTATTATTTCACTTATACATGGAATTTAAAATGATTTAAATTAAAGAACAGAATGGTGGTTTCTAGGGAAATAGGTGACCTGTGTTGGGAAGATGTTGATCAAAGGATGCAAACTTTTGGTTGGGCAGAGGAATAAGTCTAAGAGATCTATTTCAGAACATGGTGATTATCATTGGTAGAATTGTGCTATATATTTCAAAATTGCTAGTTGGATAAATTTAAAGTGTTTTCACCGCAAAAATTAATTAATCAATAATTATATGAGATAATGCACATGTTAAGTACACTAACTTCATTTAACCATTCCATGAATAATAAATATTTCAAAACAAAATGTTGTATTTGGTGAGTGTACATTGTTTTTATTTGTCAAATAATTTTTTAGAACTCCAGAAGCATTGAAGCTTTCTAGGAGTCTGTTCTAATAACATAAAAAACAATAATGTTTGGATCAGGTAATAAGCGTAAAGTCTGTGAGAAGTGTTTCAATTCTCAGTATATTTTGAATATTGAGTCAGAAGACCTTACTGAGAGATTAAACCAGTCCCATAAGACATGGATAATTTCAAAACCTTAGATCAGTTGGATGGATGAATACTACATTAATTGAAATGAGTGTCTCCATTAACTGGGGTTATAGGTATTTAAAGGATTACAATTGTGGATGGGCATAAAGGTTTGAAACAGATGATAGATATCCAAGTGATGATGATAGGTATGGAACTCTGAAGCTCAAGGAACATACCAAAACAGGAAGTTGAGAGAGGTTAAGATGGTCCCCCAAACTACCTGTTCTGTTGTTTCAAAAATATTTTAATATATACTTATTAATTTGTTTCATTTATAGTACAAGTTTCTCTTAGTTCAATGAAAAGAAAGTTTTGTGTTGCAGGAGATTTAGCTCAGTGGTTTTGCTGCCTGCTTTGCAATCGCAAGGCCCTGATTTCGATTCCCAGCACAAAAATATTTTTTAAAAATTTTGATGCTAATATCTGTTTGTTTCTTCATTGCAAAAGAGAATCTTTTTGTCGGTGTTTTGTACTCTACTTTGAAGATAATGCTATACAGTATATTAGCTATGGTTATTCTCATTATTTTGCTATGAAATTGTATTTTTATGAAATAATGAATAAATAATTTAAAAACTCATTGTAAGAGTAAGAATATAATCATATTCAGGAAACTTTATTACAGTATTAGTGACACATAAATCACTTTTACAAAGTATCAAAGACAAAATTATCAAAGTAACTATAGCTACAATAATGCATTAATGAATAAACTGGATGCAAAGATGTAAAATGTGATTTCATAGATATCATATTGTAATGTGTGGGTAGGAAGAAAAATTATAGTGTACAGTATTTGTATGTGGTCAAAGTTAAATTATAGTCTTAAAATAGATTGTTATAACTATATGTTATGTAAGATTTTTTAAAATCCTGTAGCAAATTTTAGTCATATATCTTTGTCTTTCTTGCTTTTTTTCATTTATTTTTATTAGTACATGTGTGCAGTACTAATGATTACATTCATAATGGGGAGTTGATACATGTACATAACACATCCCAATTATTCTTTAACATCTGGCTTCTTTCTGGCATTTTAACAGATGTATTTAAAACGCATTCACTTTGTTATGTATCACTATTTTTATTCTTTTTATCAATGAATTGTATTGGATTTTATGGATATCTCACAGCTTATTGATTCGTTTACCAGATGAAGACATTAGTATTTTCCAGTTTGGAAAATATACATCTCTATGTAAGTCTTCGGGTAAACCTGTTTTCACTTTTCATGAGTAAAAGAATGAGATTATTGAGTCTGCTGGTAGTTATATTTTTAATTTTACATATTTGTAGCCCACAGAGTGGTAATACCTTACATATTGACAATGTGTAATAACCCAATCAGAATAATTAGCATTTCCAATTTTCTAAGTAGTTATCATTTCTTTGTGTTGAAAACGTTTCAACTTCTCTTCTAGTTCTTTATAAAATGTATAATAAATTGTTATAAATGATAGTCACCCACTATGCTATAAAAGAGTATTATGTGACTATATAATAACTGTATTTGGGCACCTGTTATACAACCTTCCTCTATACCCCTTTTCCTTCTACCCTTCCTGCTAATCACCACTATTTTGCCCTCTACTTCTATGAAACCAACTTTTGTAGCTTCCACATATGAATTCAAAATATGTGGTATTTGTCTTTTGGTATCTGGCTTATTTCACTTAGTCTTTTTTTTGTTTCTTTGTTTGGAACTGGGGATCAAACTCTGGACCTTGTTCTTGCAAGGCCTTTACCAAAGAATAATTGATGGCCATAAATAAACTGAACATATTTACAGTACACAATAAGATGTTTTCACACACACACCACACACATGTACACACACACACATATATGTAATATATTCTGTGAAACTGTCACCCTTTTCAAAATAATCAATGTATCCATGTCAAACTTTTCTCCTACCCCTACCCAAACATTCAAACATTCTCTTGTTTTTCCTTAGTCTGACTTCTTTCAATCAAACTAATTGTTTGAATTTCATCAACTCTTATGCATACATAAATATAGTTGTTCCTTAATATATATGAAGTGTTGGTTCAAACTTCCCAAAATATAACAAAACCTGCAGCTGTGCGAGTTGCTTATGCAAAATACCATACTATTTGCACATAATTCATGCACATCACCTTCCTGTATACTTCAAGCTTCACTGTATAAGAATTTGCTGTACCATCTGTGCAAGTGCAAGGACCTGAGTTTGATCCCCAGTACAAAAAAAAAAAAGAATTTGCTGTACCAGAAAAATCTGTACATTTTCAGCACAAGTGTAATTTTTTCTGAATATATTTTATCTTCAATTGGTTTAATTCACACATGCAGAATCTAAAGATATGGAGAATCAACTGTATCATTTTTATTTATATTTATGAGTCCTGTTCCACTTTATGGGTATATCAAGCTTATTGATTCATTCACATAATAATAAACACTTTATCATTTCTACTTTTTGGCTATTATTAGTACAGCTGCTTGTTTGTGTACAGGTCTTTGTATCAAAGCACTGAAAACAAAACTATAAAGAAAATTCATCAAAAACTGCATGTGAAGTACCTATAGCATTTGTTGCTACTGAAATAATCTTTGATTATTATCCCAATAAAAGAAAAACAAAAATACAATGTGAAATTGAGGAATCACTTAGCTTAAAAAAAACAGAATGATAATAACAAGTTTGTAGAAAACATTGTGCTTAAAATACAGTGAATGGATAGAGTAAATGCTATGCTGATGGGTTCATTTTATATGAGGGGAACTGACTTTCTAAATTGAGATCACCTTGGAGAAATTTGCAGTGATATAAGACGCTAGTGTCTTAGTTAATTCCTATAGTCCATTCCTGTTCTTTGCTATTGCAAAATGCATACATTGAAAAGCTTTAAACTGCATAAATTTTTTCAACAGTTCTAGATGTTGGGAAGTCCGCTATTTAGGCAGATTTGATGTCAGGTTATGCCTTAGTTCCTTGTAGATAGCTTTTATTCACTGTAACCTTATGTGACAGAAGGCACAAAGGAACTTGCAGCAAGTCTGTATTTTATGAGACTAATCCTATTCATTAAGTCTCCAAGCTCATGTCCTAATCTTCTCATCTTGGGGGTAAGGATTGAAATATATGAACAGGACATAAACATTCAGACTATACCACTTGCATGACATTGTAGTGTGTTTCAGGTCTTTATGTTCATTACTTTCAGCAGTACCTGCCTTAGGTCTACTGCCTTTCAAACAAGTGAACAGACAAAATTTGGGGGCCCTGTAATAAGCAGGTGCAATCAAACCTTATTCTATCATTATGCCATTTTACCTGCAAGTTTCTCAAACTTCATATGCTGTTATATAATTATTTTATAAATTTAAAATTAACTGTCACTTTTTTATGTCAACACAGTTTTGGGGAAAGTGAGCAGAGAATAAATGCTTCCCATGTAATGTGATACAATTTTATACAGGTTTAAAAATGTGGGTTGCCTCTTTAAAGTACAATAAAGGTGGATTTCAAAAATTGTACCTGGGATTTTTAGGAATTATTATTTACATGCTGAGATGCTGAATTACCCTGTGGATATTTTTTAAAGGGTATGAACTCCTTTCTGTGCAAAATGTATTTAAAAAGCTAGTAATGAAATTGGTTTATAGTGTTAGAATAAATCATACAGATTTCTTTGAAAACTTTCAATAAAAAAGAAACAGTATTTTTAGTTCAGCCAATATGGAAATGTGCTTAAAATTTTATAAAATTAATTTCGTATAATTACATCATTTCTTAAACATTTGTGAATTATTTTGCCACAAAGTAGCAAGTAGAAGTAAATTAACCATAACACTAGAGCAAAGATAAGTAGGACTAGGAAATGCATAATCACATTTAGGCTGTTTTACAAATATTTAACAAAAAACATATATTGCGTTTATTGTTTTAAACAAATAAAGTAAATTTTAAGAACAGTAGTGGTCTCCACAAAAAGATAAAGTCTCAGACTCCTCAAGTTTCATACTGTCTATTCATGAAACAAAAACAGTCCTTTGAAACAACTCTAGGCATGAAAAAGGAAAGGGTGCCTGGAACTAATATATCTGGTCTTCAGTTTGTACATTGCAAATTTGACCTCTTTGTTTCTCAGTGTGTAGATGATGGGGTTCAATATAGGTGTGAAAACCGAAGAGAACACAGAAAAGACTTTATCCACTGGATTGTTGCCAAAAGGCCAGATATAAATGAAGATACAGGGTCCAAAGAAGAGGGTCACCACAGTGATGTGTGCAGTCAAAGTGCTGCGGGCCTTGGCCATGCCTGCTGAGGAATGACGCCGCACAGTAAGCAGAATGACTGTGTATGAGATCAGCAGAAGCAAGAATGAAGTCACACCCATCAGACCACTGTCCAAAAGCATCAGCACTTCAGGGATATAAGTATCTGTACAGGCAAGCTTGATAACCAAAGTAAGGTCACAGTAATAACTATCCACAATATTTGGGCCACAGAAGGGCAAGTTTAAAGTGAAAGCTAACTGACTCAAGGAGTGCAAAACTCCAATGATCCAAGAGGCTATCACCAGGCCTGTGCACTTACACAAGTTCATGATGGCTGCATAATGAAGAGGTTTGCATATAGCTACATACCTGTCATATGCCATGGCTACAAGGAGCACCATTTCACCACCTGCAAAGACATGCAGCAAGAATATCTGTGCCATGCAGCCCTCAAAGGAGATGATCTTGGGCTCATGAAGGAAATCATGGATCATCTTTGGGGTTGCATAAGTGGCCAGAAGAACATCAAGAACAGAGAGATTACTGAGCATGATGTACATGGGTGTATGTAGGGCAGGTTCAGAAATCACTGTCAAGACAATGAGAAAGTTTCCCAGTACAATGCCTATATACAGGAGGCTAAAACACACTAAGAAAAAGCACTGGAGCTCCGAGGAATTGGAGAGTCCCAGCAGCACAAACTCAGTCACTCTAGAATAATTTTGCTGATCCATGGTCTCAGGCTATAAGAGACAAAGAGAAACATTTATGGATTATTATGAAGAACAAGAAAAGTAGACCACAATCTCAAAATGTTCTCCTCAATATTAATTTAAAATAATCCAGAATTATTCTATTAGAGAATGTCTATAATTTTGGAGTATATGTTCTCTCAATTATCCTCATTATGAAAGGTAACCATGAGATGCAAAATAGTAAGTCAACAACTCCATTTTCTCAATGTGTAAGTTAAATGTGATAATAAACAGCACATGTGCATCACACAGACATTAATTAAGTTATGGTTCTAAAGTCTCCAGACATTTATACTACTGTCCTTGCTATGGGGCATTTCATTATCCACTTTATATTATATACAAACAGCTGCAACTCAGACAACTCTTAAAGGCCATATTTACCAAAAACAAAACACAAAATCTTCTCATGCCTCTCTCTTCTTCCTATTACTTAACTCTGACAATCATACAATTAAAATGTTTACTGCGTATCATTTCTGAATTTATAGTAACTTGAGTGGTTTGAAGCAAAATGCCTAGATAAATGGAGCTAACATTGTAACATATTAATAATAAATAGTGATGATCAATATGTCTGTACAGAATATCAATAAATAAGATGATAGTAGCCATGAAATAAGATGTGACTAAATTTGAAGAGTTGAAAAGTAGATTACGTGAAGGTCAACTATAGCAGTTGACTGAACAGTATGGAAACATCACAAGATAAACAATTGTAATATAGGTTATACAATTTGTGGGATTTGATTAGAAATTCTCTGACCTAAAAAAATAAAGCAAATTCCTCAAAACTATTGAGAAATAGTTCTG